TTTTTCCGTATTTCCAACGGCTTTCAAAAGGGGACCCAAAAATCAACTTCTAAACTTCATAACTTTAGTAATTGTAATCGGATTTAGTCGTGGGATACCTCTATGAGTTTGTGATCGAATTCTCTAATAATCTGCATTCAAATATTTCTTTTTAACGAGGGTCCAAATTTCAACCCATTTTCATGTTCGATTTTTCCGTATTTCCAACGGTTTTCAAAAGGGGACCCAAAAATCAACTTCTGAAGTTCATAACTTTAGTAATTGTATCCCGATTGAGACGTGAGATACCTCTATGAGTTTCTGATCGAATTCTCTAATAATCTACATTCAAATATTTCCCTTTAACGAGGGTCCAAACTTCAACCCATTTTCATGTTCGATTTTTCCGTATTTCCAACGGCTTTCAAAAGGGGACCCAAAAATCAACTTCTAAACTTCATAACTTTAGTAATTGTAATCGGATTTAGTCGTGGGATACCTCTATGAGTTTGTGATCGAATTCTCTAATAATCTGCATTCAAATATTTCTTTTTAATGAGGGTCCAAATTTCAACCCATTTTCATGTTCGATATTTCCGTATTTCCAACGGCTTTCAAAAGGGGACCCAAAAATCAACTTCTAAATTTCATAACTTTAGTAATTGTATCCCGATTGAGACGTGAGATACCTCTATGAGTTTCTGATCGAATTCTCTAATAATCTACATTCAAATATTTCCCTTTAACGAGGGTCCAAATTTCAACCCATTTTCATGTTCGATTTTCCGTATTTCCAACGGCTTTCAAAAGGGGGCCCAAAAATCAACTTCTTAATTTCATAACTTTAGTAATTGTAATCGGATTTAGACGTGAGATACCTCGATGAGTTTGTGATCGAATTCTCTAATAACCTGCATTCAAATATTTCTTTTTAACGAGGGTCCAAATTTCAACCCATTTTCATGTTCGATTTTTCCGTATTTCCAACGGTTTTCAAAAGGGGACCTAAAAATCAACTTCTAAATTTCATAACTTTAGTAATTGTAATCGGATTTAGTCGTGGGATACCTCTATGAGTTTGCGATCGAATTCTCTAATAATCTACATTCAAATATTTCTTTTTAACTAGGGTCCAAATTTCAACTCATTTTCATGTTCGATTTTTTCGTATTTCCAACGGCATTCAAAAGGGGACCCAAAAATCAACTTCTAAATTTCATAACTTTAGTAATTGTAATCGGATTTAGTCGTGGGATACCTCTATGAGTTTGTGATCGAATTCTCTAATAAACTACATTCAAATATGTCTTTTTAACGAGGGTCCACATTTCAACCCATTTTCATGTTCGATTTTTCCGTATTTCCAACGGCATTCAAAAGGGGACCCAAAACTCAACTTCTGAATATCATAACTTGGCTAATTGTATCCCGATTTAGACGTGGGATACCTCCATGAGTTTGTGATCGAATTCTCTAATAAACTACATTCAAATATTTCTTTTTAACGAGGGTCCAAATTTCTACCCATTTTCATGTTCGATTTTTCCGTATTTCCAACGGCATTCAAAAGGGGACCCAAAACTCAACTTCTGAATATCATAACTTATCTAATTGTATCCCGATTTAGACGTGGGATACCTCCATGAGTTTGTGATCGAATTCTCTAATAAACTACATTCAAATATGTCTTTTTAACGAGGGTCCAAATTTCAACCCATTTTCATGTTCGATTTTTCCGTAATTCCAACGGCATTCAAAAGGGGACCCAAAAATCAACTTCTAAATTTCATAACTTTAGTAATTGTAATCGGATTTAGTCGTGGGATACCTCTATGAGTTTGTGATCGAATTCTCTAATAAGCTTCATTCAAATATATCTTTTTAACGAGGGTCCAAATTTCAACCCATTTTCATGTTCGATTTTTCCGTATTTCCAACGGCATTCAAAAGGGGACCCAAAAATCAACTTCTAAATTTCATAACTTTAGTAATTGTAATCGGATTTAGACGTGGGATACCTCTATGAGTTTGTGATCGAATTCTCTAATAAACTTCATTCAAATATTTCTTTTTAACGAGGGTCCAAATTTCAACCCATTTTCATGTTCGATTTTTCCGTATTTCCAACGGCATTCAAAAGGGGACCCAAAAATCAACTTCTAAGTTTTATAACATTAGTAATTGTATTCGGATTTAGTCGTGGTATACCTCTATGAGTTTGTGATCGAATTATCTAATAAACTACATTCAAATATTTCTTTTTAACGGGGGTCCAAATTTCAACCCATTTTTAGTTCGATTTTTCCGTATTTCCAACGGCTTTCAAAAGGGGACCCAAAACTCAACTTCTGAATATCATAACTTGGCTAATTGTATCCCGATTTAGACGTGGGATACCTCTATGAGTTTGTGATCGAATTCTCTAATAAACTACATTCAAATATTTCTTTTTAACGAGGGTCCAAATTTCAGCCCATTTTCATGTTCGATTTTCCCGTATTTCCAACGGCATTCAAAAGGGGACCCAAAACTCAACTTCTAAGATTCATAACTTTAGTAATTGTAATCGGATTTAGTGGTGGGATACCTCTATGAGTTTGTGATCGAATTCTCTAATAAACTACATTCAAATATTTCTTTTTAACGAGGGCCCAAATTTCAACCCATTTTCATGTTCGGTTTTTCCGTATTACCAACGGCATTCAAAAGGGGACCCAAAAATCAACTTCTAAATTTCATAACTTAAGTAATTGTAATCGGATTTAGTCGTGGGATACCTCTATGAGTTTGTGATCGAATTCTCTAATAATCTGCATTCAAATATTTCTTTTTAACGAGGGTCCAAATTTCAACCCATTTTCATGTTCGATTTTTCCGTATTTCCAACGGCATTCAAAAGGGGACCCAAAACTCAACTTCTGAATATCATAACTTGGCTAATTGTATCCCGATTTAGACGTGGGATACCTCTATGAGTTTGTGATCGAATTCTCTAATAAACTACATTCAAATATGTCTTTTTAACGAGGGTCCAAATTTCAACCCATTTTCATGTTCGATTTTTCCGTATTTCCAACGGCTTTCAAAAGAGGGCTGAAAACTCAACTCTAACAATTTACATTCAAATATATCTTTTTAACGAGGGTCCAATTTTTAACTCGCTTTTTTTTGTTCGATTTTTTCGCATTTCCAATGGTTGGTTCTGAGACCCAAACAAATTCAATGCAGTGCCATAAATATTAAAGCTACAGCACTCAATTTGGCACCACACATTCTTATTGCTGTGTAAGTAACCCCAACTTGTAAAACAAAATTTGCTTTCTATTTTATTAAGACCACAATATTCATTTCTGCAAAACCGCAAGGTATCCACCACTTAAGACAAATTAAAGTCAAATTAAATATGTTTTTATGTCTTTGTGATGCGAATCAATTTTCATAAATCGTAAAAGTTTGCGTGGCAGTTTAAAACGCATCCAAACTCTTCGAATTCATGGCTCATTCGGAATGGACTCCAGCCGTCAGTTTTAATGGTCATTCAGCGGCTTCTCATAAATTCAGACCACCCATTCCTCAGCCCCCCAACTTTTGGCCCATTTAAATTCAAGCTGCGATTGTGTAGATGCGAAGGCAAAATGCTTTTCAATGCGTGCGAGTGCAATAAAGGCCATGGCAATTGCTTGTGCTGCTGCCGGGGGTTGCGCCTAAAAGTAGACATTAAATAAATTATTCAGCAGGGCATGGCTGTGTAGCTTTTAAATACGCACGCCTGCGAAATTGTTTTGTGCGTGCGATGGAGCTGATGGATATCAACGGAACCAAGGGGATCGGACACTGGGAGCTCATAAAAGTGCAGAATAAATTTAGCAACCCGGACATGCGTTGAACTGGGCTCTCATAAAACCTAACAGTTGTAATTGTGCTGTAAACACGCAACTCAATGGCATTGTGAATGGGCTGAGCACTTGCACCACCACCAAATCGGCCAACTATATATCCACCCAACCATCTACATCCTAACCATTTCTATGCATCCATCCTATTCATCCTGCAGTGCGGCACAATTTAATTTATGCCCCGTTTTGTGGCCGGCTTGTTGATTTTGCTGCTTTGCCCCTTTTATTTTTATTGACCATTACAATTCAACACAAGCAGCCAGACTCACACCAACCACACGATTTGAGTCACAAATTTTATATGGCATAATTTGGTTTCGCCCCTGTGAGCATGCATTAAAAGTGCCCAAATAGCGCCAAATTGCTCGTAAGCTGCGGAAATTGCGTTACGCCCACTCCAAAAGTCCAAATCCAGCCAAATGGAATTCAGACAAAAGGCTAGCATACTTTACCGAGCATTAACCATTTCGCAACATGCACATTAAAATACTCAGCCACTTATACAACTCCCAAAAACATTTCGGCATGAACCATTTCAATTGCCAGACAATGACTGTCAGACGGATAAAACAAGCCCATTATTTAGCCTTTGTCTGGCTACGATTTCGTAAAAGTTGCACCTTGATTTTTAGCCACAAAAATCTATAGCCCAACCACAACACCTTCCTTGGCAGTCGAATAAAACTGCCATCTAGATACCACAATCCATATGCAACACTAATGGCCAGCTTTGCTTATCCATGCATAAACTGTATATATTTCCTTTTAAGCCAGTTACTGGAAAATCAACTGAATGGTTTTTGGAAAATAAATTTCATCAGCAGGCAAGAAAATATGTACAAATTACTACGCAAATTTTCAAGTGGAAAATATTCCCAGCTGCAGAGCCGCCCATCAAGTGCAAGGCACAATGAAAAGCAATAAACACTCTTTTCAAGCATTTAAGCCAAAAGGAAAATGGGGGAAATAAGTTTATGGCCAAAAATAGTCTGTTGTCTTGGCCTGAGAATTGCTGAATGAGGACACGTGTCTACGAGCTGGGCCGGAACAAAGGAAGCCGGCCAAGTAAGCGGGCCTAAATGGTATTTAAACACCAGTGGCACAGCCCATCGATCAACATACGCGATGGAAGCTCAACAACTGCTGCTGATCGTTGCCATCGGACTGGGACTGGGTAAGAGATAATAAAAGCTACTAAAAACATATGGTGATATATAAAAAGTAGCTTTTGTCTTAATTCATGCCCTGCTAAATGTAAATGGAATGTTTAGTAATGAGAAATCATTCTATAATGCAGCAAATAAAAGGTTTGAAACTGTCATATGTACAGGAAAAGTTTGAATATAAGCTTAGTAATTTTAATTTACTGCGGTTTAAGCCCACATTCAAAATTAGTCATATAAATTATTTTACAGAAACAAAGATTTCTACATTAATTACGACTTCCCATTAAAATAAATAGTTCAATATTAATCGAAGTATATAGGAAAAGTTATTAGTTATACTTATTAATTTTAAAATACAAAACATTGTAATATACAAACTATAATAATTAGTTTTGTTTTAATTAAGGTTAATCTATTTAACTTTAATATACAGAGCTACATGTTAAACCTCATTACTTCGAAGAGTTAAAATTAGGAATATTTTTTCCAAAGTCTATAAAGATTGGGTAACTAATTGCCTATGCCTTTTTAGTGTTCCTATCCCAAGCGGACTGCCCGCTCTCCAGGGCCATGATCGAGGGCACCAATAGGATATTCACCAATCGCAATGCCGCCGGCCAATACGAACTGAAGCGACTCCAGAGGGTCCGAACCAGCGAGGTGCTTCACATGTACTGCCAGGCGAACGATATTGTCCAGACGACCTGCCAGCAGAATACCAACTTCAGTAGGCCACTCCCTCTCCGGTGCCAAAGACCCATTGCTGCCACGGCAACGGTGGTCACCGATGCCTCCTGTCCAGCCACCATGTACTCCGTGGGCTATACCATCAACAATCGCCACCTGGAGCTCTACCGCGCCTGCTACGATCGCAATGGTGTTCGGGCGAGGTTTACCACACATTCCGTGTACCACAAGACCTTCTGTGAGTGATAGATAGTTTTACACATTGTTTTTATAAAATCTAAGGAGTTGTTTCCCATCCCATACAGTCCCCCAACGTCCTTGTGCCGATTTCACCAGGGATGGCCTGCTCAGCGAGACCGATGTCCAAAGTTTCCTGCCCCGCAGCATTTTCCGCGCTTTCCGTACCATTTTTGGCAATACCCAGCGGTACATTCCCAACGAACGGGATGTGATCATCAATCGTGGACATCTGACCCCGTCGGGTGACTATCTCTTTGGAGACCAGATGTGTGCCACCTTCAAGTATATAAATGTGGCGCCCATGTTCAAGAGTGTCAACGACAGGAATTGGGAGGCGGTGGAGAGATGGGTGCGAACTCGCATAAGTGCCGGTGGATTGCTGAGGATCAAGACTGGAACCAATGGTGAACTTACACTGCCGGACAATCGTAGTCGCCAGCGACGCATTATTCTGGGTGCCGGAACCAAGAACATAATGCCCTTGTGGCTGTACAAAGTGGTACGCACAGCCACCAATGGACCGCACAGCGTTTTCGTAACCCTCAACAACATCTTCGCCCGTGCCCGTCCCGCTGCCCCCACTTTCTGCACCAGTATTCCCTGCCCCATGACCCTGGAGAATGTGGCAGCCGCTGGCTACACCTACTGCTGCAATGCCACCACTTTCACACTTTAAGTAAGAAACAAGTCGGCATGAGAAAAATATCACAAAGCAGCAATTTAAAATGATTGGTTTATCATTTAATTGATTTGAATATATATAAAGATTATAATATAATCACTATCACTGATTAGCTTCAATAAAGTCATTTGTCATACAAAGTTTTCTAATAATGAAATATTTCAGTAGCTTGCTCTTATTCTAAATACTACAACTGAAAAATCCATAATTTCTATCAACACCACCTACCCCTCGACTGAGTCACGTAAACTCAAAGCCCCATCTGATGATGGAATCCGAGAAGCTCCTACTTAATGATGGCCCGCAACGAACGGTTTCAAGTGCGGAATCTTATTTTATTTCCCTCTGCTGCACCTTAGATTCAATTTTAGATAGGTTTTTATGAGTGCTGCTGACAAAATGCAAGCCACATAAAGTTCATTGGATGCAGCTTGAAAGGAACGGAAGGGCAACTTCTTTGTTATTAAACGTGCGCTGGCAAGGTAAACAAACCACCCGATGATATGCGCAGATAAGGCCGACTGAAAGGCACAGGCACCACCCATCGGACCACCCTGAAAAGACCTGAGTGGGGGAACCAGCTGCTTATCACTGATGACCTGTGTAGCGCCTTGACGAATGTACAGATTTTTTTTTAACAAAAAAGATAAGGAGTACTCTCTTGCAATTGCACCATTGATTAGTCAGCTTGTTCAGAAGAACATTAACGAAACATTGAAAATGATGATAGGTAAACGAATTGTATTGGTGCAGTGTTATAACTAAGGTTCCTCCAGGAAATTTTCTCTTAATCTTAAATGATACGTATTTAGCAAACTGGGACAAAAGTTTGTGAGAAATCTACATTGTAAATTGTGACTAAGGTCCTGTATATTCTATTCTATGATATCGCACTTGCAAATGCAATACATCTTATCGGTTTTGTCGACTACACATGATGAATCATCTTCATAACTGTCAAGTCGGCTTATGGTGGGCACTTCGACTTCCACGGACCCCGTAACATTGTTGAAGAGAACGGTGGCACGGAAGTCAGCGGAGTTCTGCTCCACCTTGAACATTGTGCGATAGGTAGCGATCTCTATAAAGGGCATCTCGTCATGGAAATTCTGATCCAGATCGATTTTCATCTCTGTCTCGTGTATGTAGCTCAAAGTCAGCTCCGAACAAATGCCACTGAGGTTCCTGCTGGCCAAATACTCGTTTATTCGACCGATTACAAGGGGGGCAATACGCTTTGCCCAATCCATCTTTAGTCTTTTATATGGCACGCAGGTGCAGTAGTGCTCTGGTATTCCAGCATCCTCACACGTCCTCGAATCATCGATGGGAAGGAAAACGGACTGGCACTTGGGGCAGTCGGCAGCTTTGGGAAGCTCCGGACCATCTGGAGATCCGCCCAGTTCGATGATGTGCTTCAGGGTATTGTGCAAATCGTAGGTGGAGGACAGGCGGTTTTTATTTAACTGCAGGGCCCTCACATATTCCGGGTACTGAGCCCGAAACCAGGGCGGCAAGTAAATAAACATCGATGGTAGGCGTTCATCCAAGAACCCACTGGGCAGGGACATTATCCTTCCATAACGAGATCCATGATCCGAGAGGAATATCATAATACTCTGTTCGAGCACACCATCTTCCTCAAAGTCCAGCAAGTACTGCAACACATAGTCCTCCATTTTTGAGGGCATCTGAAAGCTATCGTGACTGAAGCTATTTGACCAGAAGAGACCCCATACGGGACGCTTGTCCACGTAACGCTTCGCAAGATTTTTAGCCATATCGTAGGCGTAGCTGCTAGCAATCCGTCGACCGATGCAGTACCTCATCGAGCAGTCATTGCATTTCCAGACGTTCATGCCGGACTCGAAAGCCTTTTGAGAGGGCCTGAGGTAATAGTCGGTGGGTTGTTCCAAAAAGCCGGGCTTGCAGTAATTGAATGTTTCTATGCCACTTTCATCCTCAGCATAGGCGGTGAGATAGCTGGCATTGTGAAGGTACTTCCAAATGAAGGGGGTTCTGTCCAGGCATCCCTTCTCGTGCCAGTCGCAGACCTTTTTCAAGGCCGATTCTGGATTGTATCCCGTCAAAAGGGCTAGCAGGTTCGGAAAAGTATTGTCACCTATCTGGTTAGGTAATGGCTTTGATAAAGACTATTACGGATGATTGCTTTACCCACCTTATTGTATCCCTGCAGCTCGAACCAACCGGCTTTCGTTAAAAACCTGTATACCTTGGGCATGGTTCGACGTAAATTAATTCGCGACAAAGAGTCTATTCCGAACATTAAGACACTTGGCTTTCGTTTAGACGGTTCCATGGAGAGTCCTTTGGGAGGTGGCCTATATTGAATGAGGCTATAGGCATCGCTCTGCAGAATATCCGACTCGTTGCCAAGGCGATGGCAGGCCAAGATCAGGCCCTGAACATGCAAGGGCACCTCGTAGTTCTGCGTGAAGTATTTCCGCTCCAACCTGGAATAACCAGTAAAATATTAATAATGATTCCACGAAGTGTATCGTGCTTATTTACTTGTCATAGCTGTCATGCTCTCTTTTGCGTGTTATCTCCTGATAATAGCAGTTGTACTCCCCCTCGGTAGAGTTTAAATGGATAGAGGCTAGGGTCTCATTGATAAACAACATATATCTCTGCCGACTGATGTCATAGATCGGGGTCACCAGGGCGGTTTCGTTTGAGCAGGTCTCAAAATGCTCTGGATGGAATATAGCCATGGCATCCGGCTCAAAGGGATCCACATACGGAATCTTGCACTTGGGGGTATCCACAAAGAAAAGTGGCTTTACTGGCTCCTCCACTTCAGGACTAACATCCACTGCAGAGCCATCAGGTAGAGAGCTTCCTGAGCCATCCTCTTCGAGATCAAAAGCTCTAGACTCCTCGGTAATTTTCCGATACTTAATATTAGCATTTCGCCCTGAAAGACTGAGGAGAACAGTTATAGCTACTAAGCTAAGGACTAGCCATTTAAGGAACGGATGGAATAAGGTTATCATCTTTTGAAGCTCGCTTACAGACTGAGTAGACATCCCACTTTCCTTTACCTATTTTTACTGATTCGGAACAGGTTCAGTTCTTCCGGCGGCATCCATTGATTACGGGTGCTCTTGTTAAAGGCACGAGCGGTACCAACCGGAAGCCACCTTTTAATTTACTAAAAGAGTTTGTTTCTAATTACACATGTTGAACAACCAAGCTGATAATAAAAGCTTCGTATCAGTATTGAATGCTGCACTTAGTTAACAGACATACGTCCAGCAAGTTGAGCGAACTGCAACTGGTTGAAGAACCTGGCATTTTAAAACTTCCACGAAGTCTTTTATGACGTCCAAACCCAATCAAAGCGAAAAAATGGCAACATAAAAAGATTTAAATTTCGATAATGAGATCTACTAAGAGATCCCCTCCCCACCTCTAAATTTCTTTCAGCCACTAAAATATGGAACTGCATATAAGCATACAAATATTTAAAATTTAACTAAAAGAAAACTAGGACGAACTCGCGATATATGTGCAATCCTATAATTTATACCTAAACTACCAGAATGTTGTCTACGGTACTCAGCGCAGTGATATTGTGTCTGTCGGCCAAAAGTTTTATTTATTTTGCAAAGGAGCTACTTACCTTAAGCAACTCAAGTGCAACAAAAAATATTCAGACGAAAGGCCGGCTTTCAATCCTCCGTTGTTCTATTAAACCAACCATTTTTCAGGTAGCATGGAGCTGTATCAGAACTGTTTTGAAGATGTTAACTTAGCATTGCAACATTCCACCTATAAGGCCTACCGCTTCCAAAATAGTAAGTTACATATATTTTATAACTCCTTTTTATACTTAACTCCCTTTCTATATTTTTTTCTGGGAGATGCGATCACTAAAATAAAATTAAGTAAATTAGTTATAATTTAATCATTTGTTTACAAATTTATATTATATTCTTATTAATTGCTAAATGCAGAGTACTTGCTTTAAATGAAATATGAAAAAAATCACAGAAACAAGAGATGTTCCTCCCGAAATCAATCGCAAAGCTATGATGACCTTCTAATGATGACTTGATGAATGAATGGATTTTGAAACCAACAGAGATTAGAAAAAGCTCGACTATTTGATTGGTCAGCTCTGTTTTTGACTCTCAGTTCTAGATGGATTCCGAAACTCTGAGGATGGACAAGCTAAAACATCTGAGCATCGGCCTAAGTCTGTTTCTTTGTGAGTACGATTAGAACATAAATATGATAAGGAATTCATTTGCAGAGGTTACGAATTTAAAATTATGTTTTCAGTTGTAGGAACTGCCGGCACTACATGTATTATCCATGAGGACCTTTTGAAAAGCCAAAATATATACTTGAGTAACAATAATTGGGTTTACGATCTTCAACGTAGTGATATTGTAGCAGATGGCACGAGGATTTTTCTGCTGTGTTTTAATGGAATACACCCTTCAGGGTTTCTATGCAGGAACAATGTTTTCGATCCACCGCTAGAATCGGTTTCATGTTCGCGGGCGCTCAAAGCATCTTTTGTAAATGTACCCGATACTTCGTGTCCCACCGGTTCCCTTACGTATGCAGTGGGTTATTCATACAATGGACGTTTATTGGAGTTATTTCGAAACTGCTACGATCACGGAAGATTATCATTGGACTATTCCATCTACAAGACATATCGCTACACAAAATGTAAGTTTGTATTGTTTTATACCCACCATCATATCTTAAAAACTGTGTTCTTAGCTGCTACTCGTCCTACAAGTCCATACTGGTATAGGGATTTGATGATGACAACACAAGAAGTTTTGGCCTACAAGAGACAAGTTTCGCAAGCCTGTGTCACCACTGCCCTGGGTGGAAGCCAACCGGACTGTGTATTTGATCGCGGTCACGTAACACCAAGTTCTGCTTTTATATTCTCAGAGTTTAAGAGGGCAACCTATAGGTACCTAAATGTCGTTCCCCAATATAACCTAGTCAATATTGGCAACTGGGAGAACATCGAGGCCTGGGTAACCAGACTAGTTATGGGACATTATGATCTGCCCTATCGAGCTTACGACGTTCTCAAGGTTTGCACAGGAGTTCTGGGAGTGCATAACTTGCCACACTCTAATAATCAGATAGCTGGACTTATATCTATTTACCTGTATAAAAACAACAAAATCCCCGTTCCCAAATGGATGTACAAAATTGTTAGTCATCTCTCCGGAGATAAATGGGTTTTTTTAACCTATAACGATGTAAATCTTCCAAGTTTATTAGACTTAAATCAGATCTGCAACCAGGTCGCTTGCCCGAATGGTCTTAATCGAAGTGGAGTGGGATACACTGTCTGCTGCGAGCCCTTCGGATTTATACAAAATAACATCGATTATTTGACTGGTGTTTGCTAAAGCAGCAAACAATCCAAAAACCTTAAAATGAGAAAGACAGTCCTGTTAAATAAAGAATTGCTGCTTTACAAAGATAACAATGTATTCTATTCTCAATTACAACAATTTTCTCTACATATATAAAATGGTAAAAAATCAACCATCCCCCAATAAACGTAATAGATTAGAGGCAGTGATATGTACACAAAATAATTAGACGGCAACCTAAACAGCAAAGAGAAGTAATGCCAGCCACTTATCAGTAAAGTCGGAAGCGCCTTAGTAATTGTCGGGGACTCCCGGCACTGTATAGATAAGAATATACAAATAAGAAATCTTCGTAGCCCAACCTGGGATACTCTGCTATATACTACATACTATATATACTACATATTATAATTATAATAACTAAAATGCTGCAATCCCTTCAACTTTATTAAAAACAATGTTTCAAATTTGTCGGTTGTTTACTGAGGTCTTTAAGACAATTTACTTATAATCTTAAAAAATCCCTAAAATTGTTATCAAATAATTTTGTGTAAGAACTAAATAAACACATGTCGAATCTACATTGTAGATAGTAACAGCATAATGTGACCCTAAACCTATTCTATTCCTTGATATCACTTTTGCAAATGCAGTACATCTTATCGGTTTTGTCGTCGACACATGTTGAAACCTTTGCATAACTGTCGAGCCGACTGATCGTTGGCACTTCGACTTCCACGGATCCCGTGACATTGTTGAACAGAACGGTGGCTCGAAAGTCGGCGGAGTTCTGCTTTACCTTAAACATTGTTCGATAGGTAGCGACCTCTATGAGGGGCACATCATCATGGAAGTTCTGATCCAGATCGATTTTCATCTCTGTCTCGTGTATGTAGCGCAAAGTCAGCTCCGAACAAATGCCACTGAGATTCCTGCTGGTCAAATACTCGTTGATTCGACCGACTACCAGGGGGGCAATACGCTTTGCCCAATCCACCCTTAGTCTTTTATAAGGCACACAGGTGCAGTAGTGCTCTGGTATTCCAGCATCCTCACACGTCCTCGACTCGTCGATGGGAAGGAAAACGGACTGGCACTTGGGGCAGTCGGCAGCTTTGGGAAGTTCGGGACCATCTGGAGTTCCGCCCAGTTCGATGATGTGCTTCAGGGTATTGTGCAGATCGTAGGTGGAGGTCAGGCGGTTTTTATTCAACTGCAGGGCCCTCACATATTCCGGGTATTGAGCCCGAAACCAGGGCGGCAAGTAAATAAACATCGAGGGTAGTCGTTCCTCCAGGAACCCACTGGGCAGAGACATGAGTCTTCCATAACGCGATCCATGATCCGAGAGGAATATCATAATACTCTGATCGAATACACCATCTTTCTCGAAATCAAGCAAGTACTGCAGCACATAGTCCTCCATTTTTGAGGGCATCTGAAAGCTATCGTGACTAAAGCTATTCGACCAGAAGAGACCCCAAATGGGACGCTTGTCCACAAAACGCCGGGCGAAATCTCTGGCCATATCATAGGCGTAGCTGCTGGTAATCCGTCGACCAATGCAGTATCTCATTGAGCAGTCTTTGCATTTCCAGTTGGACAGGCCCTTCTCAAAGGCCTTCTGAAAGGGCCTGAGGTAATAGTCGGTGGGTTGTTCCAAAAAGCCGGGCTTCAAGTAGTTGAATGTGTGTATGCCACTTTCGTCCTCAGCATAGGCGGTGAGATAGCTGGCATTGTGAAGGTACTTCCAAATAAAGGGGGTCCTGTCCAGGCATCCCTTCTCGTGCCAGTCGCAGATCCTTTTTAAGGCCGAGTCTGGATTGTAACCCGTCAAAAGGGCTAGCAGGTTTGGAAAAGTGTTGTCACCTATCTGGTTCGGTAATGACTTTGATAAGGACTATTACCAGGATGATTGCTTTACCCACCTTATTGTATCCCTGCAGCTCGAACCAACCGGCTTTCGTTAAAAACCTGTATACCTTGGGCATGGTTCGACGTAAATTGATTCGCGACAAAGAGTCTATTCCGAACATTAAGACACTAGGCTTCCGTTTAGACGGTTCCATCGAGAGTCCTTTGGGAGGTGGCCTATATTGAATGAGGCTATAGGCATCGCTCTGCAGAATATCAGACTCGTTGCCAAGACGATGACAGGCCAAGATCAGGCCCTGAACATGCAACGGCACCTCGTAGTTCTGCGTAAAGTATTTTCGCTCCAACCTGCAAATGTTAATCAGCAGCTTATTCCACGAATCGTATCGTGTCTAACAAGAATGATATCAAAAGGGCACAAGGAATTTACTTGTCATAGCTGTCGTGCTCCCTGTCGCGTGTTATCTCCTGATAATAGCAATTGTACTCCACCTCGGTAGAGTTCATAATGATGGAGGCCAGCGTCTTATTAATGAACAACACATATCGCTGTCGACTGATATCATAGATTGGGGCCACCAGGGCGGTCTCGTTAGAGCAGGTCTCAAAATGCTCTGGATGGAATATATCCATGGCATCCGACTCAAAGGGATCCACATACGGAATCTTGCACTTGGCGGTCTCCACAAAGAAAAGTGGCTTTACTGCATCCACCACTTCAAAACTAACATCACTTATATAGCTTTCTGATCCTTCTCCTGTAAAATTCGAAGCTCTGGACTCCTCGGTAATATTTCGATACTGAGAATTTCCATTTTGGTATGATAAACTGAGAATCACAATTAAGGCTATTAAGAAGAGGACTAGCCACTTGAGGAACGGATGAAATAAGGTTTTCATCATTTGGAGTTCGTTTACAGACTGAACACCATTTATCCATATCACACCCATTTTGTGATACGGACCACCTTGTGTGCTCGAGTTATCAGTTCTTTTGGTGGAATCCATTAATTAAAAGGTTGCTTTTATCAAACGCACGCGTATTACCAACCGGAAACTTAATTGTACTTTTTCATATGTGAAAGAAAGGATTTCATTTCAAAGGAAAGTGATAAGCAAACCACTAATTCGAATAATATAAATACAACTACCACATTCTCTTTGTATAAGACGTTAAGATCCTTGAGAACTATCAAGTTTAATTATTATTGATATTATTATTAAAATGTCAACAATTTTCAGAAGATTGAAAATATTGGTTGGTCTTTCAACGGTCGAAACCTTTAAATAATGCGTCATCGCTGAGCTTATATATATGATTCCAACCAAGTATGTAAAACCAAATGTGGATCCAGACCTTACTAAACTTTTACTAAAGCTTTATCCACACGTCAAAAAAACACCTGTACCATATTAAAACATATAAATATTTACAATTACAAAGTTTTGCCTACTTTAATGTCCAAATAGGAAAAAATAGTTTCCCTCCAAGCTCAAATTAGCCCAAAGCTTAATATCAGAAATGAAAATTTTTAAATCTAGGCGCCATGTGTTTTTCCCGATCTGGTAGCACCAATCTCTTTTTTCTCTTCAACCCCATTTCTTCCTCACGAAGACGAATAGTATTTTTTTGGCTCCGCAGCAACAACCTTTCACCTCTCTCTTCTCTGCCTATTTTCACCCTTTCACCCCTGTCTGCTCTGCTTATCATCTCCCATAAATAATCTCACCTACCTCGCGTTGCCACATAGCTCTCCAGTTCATAATGGCTCGTTTACACTGTAGTCTGTACTTTATAAATTTTGTTATTATTATTATTTTATTATTTATTATTTTGTTATTATCCTAACGTTGGCAGTAGCACAACAAAAACGTATGTCCTTATTAGAAAGGGTATATTGCCTAACGTAAAAAAATTTCAAGATGAACAACAACTCATTTCTGGCTCAATCGCAGATATAATAATATCATAATAATTATGTATTGGAAACAGAAAGAGGTTTTAATTTTCAATTACCTATATGAATGCACTTTTGAGTATAGTGGAAAGCAGATATTTTAGGTAAATCTACCCCTGCTCTGCCACTGTTAGAAAACGTTGCATCCTAACATTTCTGTTAAATCAGCTGGTGTGACCATCCGCCAACCGCTGCGAAATCTATAAAATATTAAATCCTAAATATTTATTTTTATTCAAAAATATCGATATATATATTTTGATATATCGCGTTTGTTTGTAAAACGAAATCAGAATGGTTTCGGAAAAGTGCACGATTGGTCGTTAAAATGGTAAAGTGCGGCTGGGCCGTTGAAAAAATTGAGAAAAATAAATCGCGACGTTCGGACGCGGAGGAAAACGTTGTGAAAGTGCCGAGTTGAGAGTGCAAGTTCAAAACTATAGCCCACAAGGATTTACGAGTTGAACGAAAAGGAAGAACGCAAGACATCCTGGCCCACGCAGGATAGCTGTGTGAAGCAGACGCGTGAAGGATAAGAGGGAGGGGGCAGCAGGAGCAGAAGAAGAAGCAGGACAACAAGACGGGGAAGAAGAAGCTGAAGGCGGAGCCGCATCTGCCGCAGTCAAAACACAAGAGGAAATGCAACAAAAGCGAGATAAAAGTGCATTCAGCTGGGGGAAATGGAAATGTGAAATGTGAACGATGTTGCAACGTCGCGCCGCTTGCCCAGCCAAGTAAAAGCAAAAGCAAAAGCAAAGCATAAGCGTAGCAAAGCAAAAGCAAAGTCAGAACAAACAAAATACACAAAGTGAAAGAGCGAGTGAGAGAGAGAGAGAGGGAGTGTTTGGTTGGTGTATCTGTGTTTAGTGCGTACGCGTGTGTGTGTGTGTGCTCACAACAAATTGTCGTTTAATTTTCTTCGATTCTGCACAAACAACAAGCACTGAGAGAAAGGGGATGTCCTCTTCACCACCCTTGGAATCCGCCACCTAAGGTCATAGGTCACCAGCAGCCAGGAGGTAAGTTAATCTAATTAAGATATATGATATCTTTACCTTTATCACAATTCTATTTAAACACCTAACAAAACGATGAGTTGACCTCGCTGCATGCCGCGTAGGAAACGAATGCCAAATTTAACCAAAATAAAAAACACGTTTGCCAACGCCAGCAGCAGCAGCAACAACAACAACCCATGTCCAATTAAAGTTGCAGTAGGGAAAAAAAAGAAATGAAAAAAACCGGCATGCCGGCTGCTGCAATTCAGAGCTGCTCAAAGTTAAACGAGCCAAGTAACAACAGAAACAACAAGAACCAAGCGCAGAACTACAGTGGAACCTCCCAAAATTCAAACTGTGTAATTGTACTTTCATGAATCGAGTTTTCGGAACTAGAAATCCAACTTTTATTCTCCAAATTGGCTTGAACCAAGTGATTTACTCGAGATTGGTGTTATAAAAGATAGATAATTTTTAGGACATGAACAATTTAGCCTTTGTTTTGCAAATTTCCATTTACTTAACATATTCTACATGAATCAGATTAACTTTAGCAGATTTTAGTTTTAATATTTTAATATTTTTGATCCCAATGCGTAAATTTAAATATTTTATTTCAAACAGTTTGAAAAAAATAGTGAAAAGAATATTATATGTAAGTTAAAAAATAAACAGAATATTTTAACAACTGAAAAGACTTATACATAGTAGTACTAAGTAAAATGAATGTTAAGTTATTTTCATATTTTAGTTCGTTGTTTCCAAAAAAATGTTTGCTTGATGTAATCATCCTAGTTTTTATATGTTAGTTGAAAAGTTTTCCATGCCTATTTAATCTGTTTACTATTTCAACTCAGGTTAACTTGATTTTAAGAAGTACTACTGTATAAAGGCTTTACAGTCGCGTGAATGTTGGTGCCCCCTCGTGGGTGTGTGTTGGCAATACTACACCAACTCGAGGCGCACTTTAAATATTTCACCTAACTACACAGAGAATTCTGCTCGGGTTGCGGTTTTTCTGCGCCGCCAACTTTTGAAATGAAAATAATCATAATCAAGAGGCTGGGAGTAGATGGGGAGGCTCTCAACAATGCCACACCCACTCGAGTCCCCCAGCACTTTTCCCCTACCACTTACTTTTTTACTTTTTTTTCTCTGGAAAAGCCAGAACGTATGAATGAGTTAATCAGAGAGCGGAGGCAAAGCGCCAAAAGGCAACAGTCAGCAGACGCATAGTCTGCCCAGCTCTCTGGTTGCCATCGCCATCATCAACAAAGAACAAACAAAACGGCAAAAACAATTGCACTAAAGTTTCACTAGAATCTGCAATGAATCAGAAGGAAAAACCAGAAAAAGAGGCAACTCAAAAAGTACTAACTGGTAACTTTATACCCTTCTCAGCGAGGAAAGTAATTCAAGCTCTTAAAAATGTATCAAATGTAACAAAAGTTAAATGATAAGTTTCATAACGCAAATAAAGCTGAGCTACTTAATAATAAACACTAACTATAGATATAAAAATATACATTCCATGAGTTATATTTAAGAGCTTTAACTGGAATTTTTATGTAATGTCTTAAAAAGAAAGTGCCAAAGGTAACAAATTAGAAACAGGTAATACTATCCAATTTAAAATGTTCCCAAAGAAGATTACAACATTAGATCAAAACAGTACCATGTTCTAGCTACATTACCCATTAGTTTCGGAGTGTATCAAATGCCATGACAAAGATCCCGACGATGAGTCTGCTATAAATTGCGATGGCATTCTGCGCTTAACGGGTTTTTTGTCTGTTACATTTTTCGACATTTACGCCATTGACGTAATTGTCAGACCCGGCCCAGACAAACTACTCAACTGAACCGTCAGCAGTCAGTCTGACACCGCCACTCCAGAACTCCAGGGTTCCCGACTATATACATATATATATGTGCAGCTCCATTGCCATTTTCATACCCATACCAACCTATACCCATTTCCATTTCCAACTCGCTCCCGTCTGCCTTTTTCAAGCTCAAGAGCAAAGTCGGCTTTGCCTTGGTCTTTTCATGAATTTGCATTTGCGGTCGCCGGGAAAATACTCGTATTTTCAGCGGGTATTTTTCATAATTTTCCGCTCGCGCTCTCCGATTTTTCCAGCACATTTTTTTCCTTTCGACTCGCTGGCCCACGGTTCGTTGCACTTTTGTCAAGCTTTTGCCAAAGTTTTCGGCTGAATTTTCGTGTTATTGTCGGAATCGCACAAAAGTAATGAATGGTCTGATAAATTCTAGATGCCTAGTAAACCCAGTAGACCAAACAGCAGCAGAGCACCGCTGACTGCCAATTTGGGCGGACCACAAGCAATTAAAATTTAATTTTCCCCAAAACCTCCAGATATAGCAGGCACATAAACCGCAGTATTAAAATTTAACAACGCAGCAAGTCCTGCGGCCAAATTGCCTACTGGCTGAGGCCACTTTAGGGGCCAACACTTTAGAACCCATCCCCATCCAACTCCATCTCTGCCGCCCAGGGCACAAATTAATTGAATTGAGACACATTTGCGAGTGGCCGCAAAAAAGAGAAATTATTTTGGGAACGATTCCTGTGGGCGGATGGCTGGCACATCAAATACATTTATAATTTTATTAGCAGAGAGAGCCCGAATGACAGGCAAATGAAAGGTCCTTGACAGTTAATGTTTGGTAT